GATCAAATATTTTCACAACCAGGTGCTTCTCAAGACAGAAAAATTACTTGTGAGGTACTTGGTGCGTCAGGCGCGACGGAACATGGCGGTCGACACGCGCTCTGTTAAGGAGTACGCACGTGAACTGTACATTGCAGTGGCACGAAAGATGGGAATTACAGAGCCCAAACCCTTTAATGCTTCCTCTGGGTGGTTACAGAGGTTTAAGATCCGGAACAAGATCACCAATATAAACATTGGTAGTGAAGAAGCGAGTGCTGACCGTGCTGCGGCTAGGGAATTTCCTCCATTTTTACGTGAGATTATGGAGGAAGGACAGTACAGTGACGACCAGGTGTTTAACATGGACGAATCTGGTCTTTTCTGGAAAAAGCTACCTTCCAAGTCCTTCGTTGTAAAGAATGCCAGCAAAATTCGGGGCCGGAAGATGCAGAAGGAACGCATCACCGTCCTGTTTACCACCAATGCCTCCGGTACCAGTAAGCTCAAGTTATCGGTGATCCACACAGCACGCAAGCCGCACGCCTACAAAACCATGGACATGACCAAGCTAAATGTCCACTGGCTGACCGCACGTAAGGCGTGGATGTTCTCTACACTGTCCCTCTCCTGGTTTGATGACTGTTTTGTTCCCGATGTAAAGAAATTCTGTGAGCGACAGAATGTGCCATTCAAGATTTTGTTGCTGCTGGACAACGCACCAGGACACTCGCCCCTACTGTTAGATCGTCACCCCAACGTAAAAGTGGTCTTCCTTCCTCCCAACACTACGTCTATATTACAGCCCATGGACCAAGAGTTAATCTGCAATGTAAAAGCTGCATTCTCAACAAAAAAGTTCCAGCTCCTGAACGACTACACCAACACCAGGGAAGAGTTGCGTAACCTGAGTGACACCACCACCGATAGCAAGAGCGAAGAAGATGAGGATCAACAGTTGGCACTGCAAAAAATACTGTTCAAACAATTCTGGAGAGTATTTAACATCAAGAAAGCTGTGGACTTCTTGGTGGAGGCATGGGATCAGCTGTCTATTGCTACAATTCGTCACACATGGAGACGTGTGTTGCATGGAATACCAGGTGAGAGGAGGAGTCATCTGTGACTGGTGAGGTTCAGACTGTTGCAGTAGCAGTGGACCTTGCCAGAGAAGCTGCGCAGAGTGTTACAGTTCCAGGCTTCTCCGAGACCACCAACGACAACATCATGGAGGTGATAAGGGAACCTGATGTGACTACCGAGGAGATGGTACATGATGATGACGACGTCAGTGAAGAGGCAGGTGGTGCGTCATCCCAAGAAGAACAACACTTACCCCATAGTAATGTTAGGGTTGCCCTGGAGTGTATCGAGAAAGTCAAGCTCCTCCTTTCCTACGACCCTGACGCAAACAGGTATGAAATCAGCTGTTGCAGATTATGGAGCCCTACATCAAGGTGTATCACGACAACATCAATGCCAGCCGTCAGCAAAGCATAACAGATTTCTTCGCTCGCAACCCACCACAGCCAGCCCAAGCCAGTGACAGTGAAGATGACTTTGAGGGATTTGTCAGGGAAGCCCTGACAACTGTAAGTGACAGTGATGGTGATGCACCTAGTAATGGTGACTCACCTGAGGGCCAGTAATCTGCCCTCTGCCTCGGAACCCGCCTCCATCCCCGTATGCCGACCCATCTCTTCTACTAATGTAAGTGTTACACCTAACTTTTAGTTTTCCTAACCTATCCTTTATTTTTCCTAACTTAACCTTTAGTTTTCCTTACCTAACCTCTTCTATATTACTTGTTTTTTCATACCCTCATAAAGTTAAGATAAAATTTTTACTACAACATAGTTGTGTGTCGTCAAAAAGTGAAGTTTAGGGGGTCGGCCCGGACTCTGTTTCAATTAATCCCATATGTTATGTTATTCACTTTACGCGGGACCCTGTGGGTTACATTAACCGCGTAAAGTGAGGGTTGACTGTACTATAATTTTTATCTCTTGAGCAATGCAAAATATATTCTCTTAACTTTAATGTGAGATGATATTATATAAGATAAAAACACACATATATATATATATATATATATATTTCATGTAGATCCACAATGAAAACGTGGATCAGATAAATCTTGATAAGATCACACGTTGTTTCCCTTTTCCCCGCGTGATTTTATCAAGATATATATATATATATATATATATATATATATATATATATATATATATATATATATATATATATATATATATATATATATATATATATATATATATATATATACACACACACACACATATACACACATACAGTAGTACCCCGCTTAACGCGGTTTCGCTTAGCGCGCCAGAGCCGAACTTTCACTTAACACGGTTTTTTTCCACATATACGCGCCGAGACGCTATTTTTAGATTCGCCCCACCCGCCACCCCCTGCCTGCCTGCCTGTTTTAGCTCATAAAATTCATACAAATTACCCGGCCAGAATATAATTTACATTGCTGGAATTCTTACAATATGATGATCATTTTGAATATAAACATCATAGATTTTGCATTAGACATACAAATTTTAGATATAATGTTTACTCTGAGTAAATATGTTATCTTTTGTGCAAAATATGACATTTATATTCAAAATATTCCTGGTCTTACAAGGAATCCAGCAATGTCAATTATATTATCCTAACTTTAGTTTGAGGTATTATTTATTAAAATTTAGTGGTTATCCCACACATCTCCTTGGGACGGTTGGTGGGGGGTGGGGGGGAGGGAGGGACCAACCGACCATCTGTTACCCTGTGAAGAATTATTATTTTTTTTTATTAACTGAAGATATTTGTTTTAGCTCATAAAATTCATACAAATTACCCGGTCAGAATATAAATTACATTGCTGGAATTCTTATAATTTGGTGATCATTTTGAATATAAACATCATATATTTTGCTTTAAACTTACAATTTTTAGATAAAATTTTTTCTCTAGGTAACTATGGTATCTTTTGTCCAAAATATATGACATTTATATTCAAAATATTCCTGGTCTTACAAGGAATCCAGCAATGTCAATTATATTATCCTAACTTTAATCTGAGGTATTATTTAATACTAAATGTTAAAAACTCTGGAAGGGAGGATTGGTGGGGGGTGGGGGGAGGGTTGGGACTGACCGCGCGGTTGGAAGAGGGGGGGAGGCAAGGTGGGGTACTTTGATTGACAGATAGTGTCGTGAAGATTATTTTTTTTTTATTAACTGAAGATATTTGTTTTAGCTCATAAAATTCATACAAATTACCCGGTCAGAATATAATTTACATTGCTGGAATTCTTATAATTTGGTGATCATTTTGAATATAAACATCATATATTTTGCTTTAAACTTACAATTTTTAGATAAAAAATTTTCTCTAGGTAACTGTTATCTTTTGTCCAAAATATATGACATTTATATTCAAAATATTCCTGGTCTTACAAGGAATCCAGCAATGTCAATTATATTTTCCTAACTTTAGTTTGAGGTTATCCCACACATCTCCTTGGGCGGTTGGTGGGGGGTGGGGGGAGGGAGGGACCGACCGACCATCTGTTAGCCGGCTGTGTAGTGTGAGAGGGGGAGGGAGTTGAGTCCATTATTTGAATGGACATTAACTTGGCGACTGTATTTCTCTATTTCTCTTAAGTATTAATTGTGTGCATGTACCATCATAAAATTAAGATGTTATTTTTACTACAACATAGGTATGTGCCTTAAAAAGTGGAGTTTGGGGGTCGGGCCGGTTTCTATTGGAATTAATCCCATATGTTCTGTTGTTCACTTAACGCGATTTCACTTAACGCGGGACCCTCTGGGTTCAATTGACCGCGTTAAGTGGGAAAACTGTGTATATATATTATATATATATATATATATATATATATATATATATATATATATATATATATATATATATATATATATATATATATATATATATATATATATATATATATATATATATATATATATATATATATATATATATATATATATATATATATATATATATATATATATATATATATATATATATATATATATATATATATATATATATATATATACATACACAGTTGTACCCCACTTAACGCAGTCAATAGAACCCAGAGGGGCGATTTAAGAGTGTTTCGAAACTGTATGCATTTTTTTGGTTTTACGTGAAGTCCCAGGAATGTAACCCTCACGTAAGCTGCGAGTTTACTGTAGTGGGATTTTAAACATTATTCTGTAAGTATGGTATGCACATAGCATGTGTTCTGACTTCAGAATGTCCCAAGAGAGGTTCCCAGTCTAAAATAGAACATCAACACTACATGACAAGCTCTCTGACAGTAAGCCTTACTGGCCCAAATCCTCAAATGCTCCACTAGATCTACTGCTCTGGTCAATTTATTCATCAGATATACTGGATGACACATTCATAATTTTTGGCCAAAAAGTTAGGGGCCACTTAAAAAGACTGAATAAGGTGCACCTATGTTATGATAGTTATTATATTTCATTATTGTAAAAGTCCTAACATGCAATTATTAAACCTGAAAAGCCATTTTTTTAAATGTGATTTAAGTTATTTTACCTGGAAAGTTGTTAATTCTTCTGCTTTGTCCAAATTCTGAAAGATTACTTCCTTGGTATCTGGCTTTACTTCAATAAGATTTTGCCGTAGGTTCACTGTTATGTCTCTCTCTTTCACAACCTGAAAATTTTAAAAAGAAGAGGTTTGATAAAAACAGTAACACATTAAAAATTTAAAATATTTATCTTGATTATCCCTTTTGTAAAGACACAAAAAACCTATTTATGACTCGGGAAAGCTCGCATTATTTAAAATAGAATATACTATGAAGGTGAGAATGCCATAGCTTTCTTCTGGGGACAGTACTCCTCAACCAGATGGTTCCAGCTATATAGATCTCATTTGAGCCAGCCATTGACTCAGGGTCCAGTAAGCATTCAGATTAAAGGACCTACTTCAGCTATAAAAGGAAATTTGTAGGCCAATTCCATTAGTTCCTGCCAATTTCTTATCCTGCCAAGGATGATGGAGGTAAACAAAGTCATGTTGAAGGGATAAAATGTTGCTCATTTATATTGTACTTATAAGTCCACTCAGTTTTGTGGGTAGATATCAGCTCTTAGTCTTAAAAAGGGCTTTCCAACATTAATTCTTCATTAAAAATCAATGGTTCATCAGTGAAAGATTGTAATACTGTAAACTGATTAGGGTTGGGATGCAGACAGGCATTAATCAATATAATTTCATTAAGCAGCCCAGTCAGAATCACAGCTATGACTTAAGATACTTTACCTTACTTGCTTCCCAATACCACACAATCTGGAATGTCAACCTCCTCATTGTGATATTTTGAGATAACCTCCGTAAAGAACTATCTTTCTCTTCCAAAACCGAGTTGAAATATATGTACTATAATCCCTTGAAAGTTCAGACAATTTGGAGGGAAAGGGGGTCAGGATTTTCTGATTGTCTGGATTTTTAACAAGTTTTTTGGAGGGGTTCTGGAGGCCACTGAGCAAGCGAGCACATGCGCGCACTCAAACACATCACTACTATTAATAATAATAATGGCCTCCATCCTCCCCCAATAGCCACACCTTTGCCACCATTTTATTACCTTAAAATTAAATATCCTCATACATAAGTAGCTACCCTAGCTGTGTTGAGCTAGTTGAGCCGCAGATCAATGCGGCATTCAGTGACTGTTGCCTCGTAGTAAATATCTGCAACTGTTGTCGCCTTTGAGGCCGATGCTCTCGTTTCCCTGAGGCAGAGCAAAGCAGACCTAAGGAGAGAGAAGGACAGTCGAAATCTCATCCAGGCTGTAACATAACTTCTGGGCTGCTGCTTCTGTTCGAATAACACATCGCTGAATCTGGCGTAGAAGCATCTTGCACTTGGTCCCATCCCACCAGAGGTTGTGAACAACAGAGGAGTGAAACTGCCTTGATCAACATTCTGAATTCTCTCCCATTATGCCCTTATCATGTTGTTCTCGTTTCTCCTGAGTGCAGCATCGAGAGCTAAGTTACGCTGACATGCTGCCATGGGATCAGAAATCCTGATGTCGAAGAAGGCTCGCTGTCCCCGGCTCCAGAATCCTCGAGCACTGACATCAACATGGGCTTCGTTGCATGTGTTTGAAGTCCTATGTTGGAAATTCTCAACATCCAATGGAAGGAGGGCCAGTTCTACACTGACATCGAGACAAATTTCCTTCAACATATTTACTGTGAGATCCCTTATTTCCTCATGCCTCATGCATATGAGGCGTGATCGACGTCATACGAAGAGCCACACACACATTTGGAGGGCAAACCTTCTATTGGCCTACTGTAACTTAGAGCAATGGCATCTGTAAATTCTTGTTTATCGAGACTGAAACCATTTGCCCTTAACGGTAACGTAGTTAACCAGTTCGAGGCGCCCACCTCCTGCGCTATAGCTACATTTTTCTTTCAAGTTCTCAGATACTTGCAGCATCAGTTGCTGCAACTAATCACTTTGGCCGTGCTGTCGTTCTGTCGTAATGATGCGTCGAATCTTGTTTACTTCACTGGTATCCACTTCATCTGTTGCGTGAGCTATTATGTGATTGGTGAGGGCTGCCTTGAGCATAACTGAGTTTTGATGTTTGGTGGCAGCAATCTCCTCTGGCTTGGACAATCCCATTCCTCCCAGTCTTGGTGGTAGTGCAAGGAGTGATCTTTCTGCTGGGGTTAAGTGGGGGTGTTTCACTAATTTGGGAATGAAATTAACGCTGATAGCTTCTTCCAGAGGGTGGAGGAGGGGTCCAATATCAGGGTCAGTGAGCATCAGGTAGTTCCAGCAATGCTCGACTCCGTGGGCGAATGCCACAAAAGCCACATGTGGCTCTGTGTTAGCAATATCAGACAGAGCTTGGATTACCCTAACCCACTCATTCACCTTTCCAATTACGTACTCGGTCTTGAAGTCCGTCGTGCCGATTACTGCACCAAGGTGTTTTTGGCTATCCTTTGTTATTTTGACCTCACTTCCACCGTACACCTCCATTGCCCGTTCATAATGTTCTGGCTTCACAATGAGGAAGGACTTGCTGGGGTTTGGGTGGTACCCTATTTGTGGGCCTAGTGATGTTACCAAATCCCACCACTTTTTGATGTCCCCCACTTTTCCTGCTCCTGTAAGGTCGTCAGCATAAGCCACTTGCTTGACCTCGCTTGTTTCAAATTTTATTGTGTGTTGGAGCATGGATAGGTGTATTGCGCACATTGCCATTGCAACAGGATCCCCCTGCGTTGTTCCCTCAGTTGACTGTATGATGGTATCACCTCTTAGAGCCTTGTTGTCTATTACGTAGAGGTTTGATGGATTCCTATAGGTGTTTTCAACATTCATTGCAAAGCTTGGACGCTTTATCTTAATGTTGTGCAGTGTGGCCTTGCGGTTAAGTATGTTGAATGCATTGGAAGCGTCAACCAGGAGAACGGCCTCACAATCACGTTGCTCAAATATCATTCTCATGGTGTGAATGGCTGCTTCCCCTCCAGCCTGGTGGCCTCCACAAACTTGCAGGTTCCCTGCTGCTGCCCTGACATCATCCTTTACCACCTCCATTATGTATTTCCCGATGTTCTGCCTCAGCACTTACCCCACCCCTATAGGCCTACATCCTGGATTCGTATGCAGGGGAATGAGGCGGCAGGCCGTCAGAGCATGGAGGTGCTGGCAGCATGAGGTTGCTAGCTTTTGTGCAAGGGCAGCAATGGCAGTGCAGAGATCACTTGCTACGGCACCAAACTTGTTAGTGCTGAGGATGACTCTCCAACCGTTTGCATCCAGACCTGAAGAGTCTGCCCCCTCCCTGAGTTTTCAGTGCCTTTTTCCACACCATCTCTCCTATTATTTTCTCGAACAGGGCAGCATTTGGTCCTTCAGTTGTTTTAATGTCTCTCGGTTTATTAGCAGAAAACCACTGGAGGATTCCTCTGTGAGAGATCTTACCGTCAAAGATACTTTTATCACACGCATCTTGTTTCCAAACTTTCTTGCAATGTCATCGGTGATTTGCTTTCTGTCTCCTATGAATTTTAGTCTCTCCTGCAGTGTTCTTGCTTCATATAGGTGATCATCAAAGGCCCCATTCTGCCACATTGTCAATCTTCTCTTCATTGCTGCCACATTTTCTTTGTGCTTAGTTTTTGTGTGTGTCCTCTGGCAGAATAGATGTGGTATTATTGCCAGTATTTGAAGAGCTAAAGAGGCAAGGAAGCAGCCCTGAGTGTACTCGGCTATGAGGCGAGTCATCTCCCGAATCATTTCTTTGGTGATTCAAACATGTTAGCTGGCGACCACCTGACAATTTTTAAGTAAGTTTCTTTAACCCATATGCCTGCATTTTCCATCTACATGCCATTCCACTTTGATGGCTGTCAGCCATTCACCTCGTGGACATCTGCTACTATTGGAGCAGTGGTTATTGGTACTACCTTTTTAGGTTGAGTAGACTCACTGCTATCATTTAGGATATCATTGGGCGGTTCGGTCCCGGCGATATCCACTGTGGCCAACTGTGTTGGCTCTCTGCCATGCGGGTTTCGACAATTGTTTCCCTTTCTGCAAACCACACATGGTCAGTTGTTTCTTGCACAATCACAGCTAGTGCAATTTTGGTTCTGGCTAGCACAGATGCAACAATGTCTGTTACCCAGCATAGTGCGCCGCACTTCGGGCGACAGTTACGTCCGCCTCTGATATATGCTTTGGTCCCATACAGAAGAAGAAACTAGTTCTCATGTGGAAGGGGTGGAGAGGTGATAAGCTGGACTGCTGTGTCCGGGTAGTAGGGGCATACTACTACTGTACTACTTTGTTGTCACTTGGAATCGAGTATGAAGATCATCCAGCGATGATACAATGATATTAGTTATTAAGTTTGTCACCTAGGTTGGTGAGTTTTGAGGTGACTAAAGAGGCCGATACGGGTTCCGCAGTGTCGTCCATATTCGTTGCACATGTGGAGGGCTTCATCTAGTGCGGGAGGGGCTGTGGCAGCGTCTTTCCAACAACGGCGCTTGTCTCACTCATTTGCAGTTGGGCTAACTTGAAAGTATTGACACCTTCTCGTGTGGTGCTCCTCCAAGCGTTACAATGTGGAGTAATTGACTCCCAGGTGAGGGGGATCGATTTGGCACTTTTTCAGGTTTGTCTTAAGACTATCCTTATACCTTTTCAGTTGCACGCCGGCGTTATGTTTACTATTCGTTAGGCGACTGTAAAGTAGCTGCTTTGGCAGTCTACTGTCGTCCATGCGGGTAACATGGCCAGTCCAACGTAGTTGTTCATGGATAATGGTAGCCTCGATGCTCCTACAGTTGGTGTCCGCAAGAATACTGGAATTTGTTCTCGTCTTCCCAACAAACTCGGAGGATGGTACATAGACTACATTGGTGAAAGTTTTCAAGTGCCTTGAGGTGCCTCCTGTATGTGACCCATGTCTCACTGCCATATAACAGGGTGGGGAGGACCACTGCTCAATATATGTACAGCTTTGTAGATAATTTCAGCTCCCTACAGCTGAAGACACTGTTTTGGAGCTTTCCAAAGGTTTGAGATCCACTTCTGATCCGATGCTGAATCTCTTCATCAATGTCTGTGGGAGTGGATAGGTGGAAGCCAAGATACCGTAAGATGGTAACATTAGAGAGGGTAGTACCGTTAAGCTAGATGGATGGTGGAGGTGTGACTGAACCATGGGCAGGTTGAAAGAGAATCTGAGTCTTACATACATTCACCTCAAGGACAAAGTGAATATACGCATCTGCATAGGTGTTCAGGATCTCCTGTAGGTCGTGTTCAGAGTGAGCAACAAGGGTGAGGTCGTCTGCATACTGAAGTTCAGTAATGGAAACTGCCAACACCTTTGTTCTTACCTGGAGTCGTCTTATGTTGAAAAGATCCTTCACCCAATACTCGACGAGGACGAGTAAGGAAGGCAGCCAAAAAAATGGGAGAGAGAGTTTGTGCCAGTACACATCCTTGTTTAACCCCTGTTTGGATGGGGAAGAACTCAGCCTGGGTGCCGTTGTGCAGGACACTGCCATTCATATCTTTGTGGAGCTGCCTCAAAATGGCGATGAATTTTGGTGGGCAGCCAAAACGACTGAGGAACCACCCGAAGGCTTCCCTGTTGACCAAGTCGAAGGTCTTGGCTAGGTCGATGAAAGCCGTGTACAGGCCATGACGCTGTTCTCTGCACTTTTCCTGAATCTGGCAGGCAGCAAAGATCATGTCAGTGGTGCCATGTGATGGTGTAAAGCCACATTGAGATTTGTGAGAGGAAGTTTTCCGCCTCAGGAAGAGGTCTGTTTAGGAGAACCCGGGTGATAACATTGCCAGCTACGGAGAGCAACGAAATCCAACGGTAGTTGCCACAGTCTGACCGGACCCCCTTGTTCTTATAAATATTGACAATGGAGGCATCTTTAGGAGCTTGGGGGTTTTCCTCCTTTTCCCATATATTCTCCAGGAGTGAGTGGAGATGGCTGGTAAGCAGAGGTCCTCCTGCTTTATACACCTCGACTGGTATTCCATCAGAACCTGAGGCTTTGTTATATTTCATCTGTTTAATGGCAGTAGTTACCTCATCCAGGGATGGAGGATAGTTGAGGTGGGTCAGCTCTGGATGCTGAGGGACCTGCTGGGTAGTCAACATATCCACATCGGTGTTTCGGTTGAGCAATGAATGGTGGTGTTCTTTCCAATGCTGTAGGAGGCCTTCGTCGTCTCTAATTATGAAGTTACCGTCAGATGAGCGGAGGGGGCTGCGCCACAACTGATTGGCCTGTAAAAATTTTTATAGAATTTAAAAATTTGTGCATCTTGTGCTGATCTGCAATTTTTTGTATTTCACATGCTTTATTTTTGAGCTAGTCATTCTTTAGATTGCGGAGTTTTCGCTAGGCAGCCGCTTTCTTACTGCGGAAGATATCAGCTTTGGTCCGAGACTGAGTCAGTAAAGCAGCATGTGTATCATCGATGAATACTTTGATTGCTGGGTCATTTTCATCAAACCAGTCCTGGTGTGTTCTTTTGACCTGGCTGAGGGTCTCTTTGCGGGTTTTTGTCATGACAGTGTTGAGAGTATCTCATTCGGCACTGGGATTCACGATGTTGGGTAGTTTATAAGCCCATGTTCGAACTGCTCTCTGGAAGCATGTGCTACCACTGGATCCTCCAGATGATCAGCTTTAAAACCTCTTCTGGAGGCTTGCTGCCTTCGCAGTTTTGGGGCAACGTGAAGTGAGAGCTTGGCCCTGACAAGTCGTTGATCAGTGTCACAGTGGTCTGAGCCACGCATGGCGCGGGTGATGAGGAAATCTCGGCGACCTCTTTCTTTGACAATGATGGAGTCAATGAGATGCCAGTGTTTGAATCATGGGTATTGCCATGAACCCTTGAACTTGTCTGCCTGCCGAAACAAGGTATTGGTGATAGTGAGGTTGTGTGCAGCACACTTGCTGAGGAGTAGTAGGCCGTTGGGATTACACTTGCCTAGTCCATTTTTCCCTATGGTTCCCTGCTAAATGTTAGCATTTCTGCCAACACTTGCATTGAAGTCACCAAGAAGCACAACCTTATCTTCTCTTGGGATAAATGTTAGCACTCTGTCGAGGTCGGCATAAAAGGCCTCCTTGATGTCTTCCTCTGCATCCAGTGTTGGGGAATATGCACTGATGAAGAAGGCGTGACGTGAGTGATTCAGTGGGACTCAGAGCATCATAAGGCGCTCGTTGATCCCAATAGGCATTTCAGTTAGCCTGTGTAGGATGCTTTGGCGGACGGCAAAGCCAACTCTATAAATGCGGTTTCTCTCCGCAGCAGGCTTGCCCTTCCAGAAGAAGGTATAGCCAGTCCCCCATTCTGTGAGTTGGCCCTCATCGGTGAGCCGGGGCTCACTAATGGCTGCTATGTCGATGTTATACCTAGCCAGTTCTTTGGCCACAAGGCGCATTTCTTCATTTAGGACACTCACTTGTGCCAGCATCCAGAAGGGTACTGACATTCCATGAAGTGACCATAAGAGGTTGTATAGTTTGTTTTTGTTTGGATCTATGATTATGATTGTGTTTTCAACCGCATAAGGATGACCTTACTGGGTGTGGTTTACCCAATCAGGTTGGGTTTTTAGGCAGGCTATGTTTAGAGCACCTTTGCTAGCCCCCTCCCCATGTGGGGTGAGTAGAGTGGCTCCTCGAAAGGGCTGCTCAATTGCACAAACAGGACCAGATTGCACTGCTACCGAGATCCCAGTGCATAAACGTCCATCTTATCTCTGCCGCCCATGTGCAAAGTTGTGACTAGAGACTCCCGGCAGTCATCTCTGCTTGTCCCCGTCTCCACGTGTCCGTCGCCATACAACTTTTGGGGGTATAGGGGTTTTGATGATGATGAGAGGTGTGATGAGCTGGATGATGGCTGTGCGTGAGTTTTATTTATTGGTGAGGCAGGAGTGCAGGGTGTAACCACACATCTTGACTCTCTTATTCCTGATCCAGTGGTGTAAGTGTTGCAATGACTGGGGAGAGAGAGAGAGAGTTCCAATGGACTGCCGATAGTCCCAGTTTGTTGGGTTTCGCCTTAGTAACCTATCCATCAGGCATTGCCTTCGTGCTCTGGTGTATTCGTTGGGTTTCCATGGTGGTCACCCCTTCTGCCTATACCACCGTTGGGGTCTTGTTGGAGCTCTGTAAGCATGTCTGCCTGATGCGGGGCTCCACCGCAGATTTTTTGTTCGGGGTTTACTCCTGTAGCCTTATACCTACCAAGGTTAATCCGCAAGGCAGCGGGGCAACGGTTGGTAAACGCCATGACGTGTCCACATGCCGGTGGGCCTATGCACCGTCCTTCTAGGGCCCACTGCTACTCCGAGATCCCCTGCTGGTCTCGCCTGCACAGACGAACGGACAGACGGGCACGCACGCACTACTGCTACTTTTCATGCCCAGAGGATGGAATGTGACTTATATCTGAAGCTTAACAACCTACTACCTGCATCTGTTTGTCATGTTGGGCTTATTATTTATTATCTAATTATTTTATTACACCCCAGGGGGCAACAAGCCTCGTCACAAAACCATGCGGTCAGACACTAGTACAGTGGTGAAACGGTTGGTTAATTACCAATTAACCAGGTTGGTTCACATATATTATATTGAGCTTTAGTAACGAAACCCAATTGAAGTTTCTTGTTTTATTAGAAAAGTATTATGTTTATATAATTCCTGAGTGTTGGTCAACTGTAAGTTCCACTATTTATGAGTGTGATGAGAAAGGATGGCGTTTATTGTATATAAACGTGAATCAACGTCTGTTCGATATTAAGTAGTAAGTGAGACTAACTGAAGGCGTTGCCTTGGTGCGTGCTTACATAGATGCTGACATGTGAGCTTATCCCTCTTGGGAAAGATACCGATCATGTGTTTAGTTCATGTCCTCACAGATAGTGGAAAATTACAGGGGAGGAATCATAATATAAATCAGATGTAAATAACCCATTTATATAATACTTCTGTTGATGAGACAGGTGCCATTACATCGCTCGGTCACCACCGGCCAAGCTCCGTGAGGCCTAAATAAGCTCACAGAGTACAGTACATCCTATACAACCCTAACCATGTTATAAACAAAGGTGTAGACACTAAGCTGAGGATTCAACTACGGTAGGGGTTTTATCTACTACAGGGGCCCTATACTTTAGCGTTTTACGGATTAAAATGTTATGTACAACTTTCATTTTGGATGACACTGACTTATAATAACAAAACAGAAACATGATTGCCAAAATTAACATAATAGTGGGAATTGTGAGACTAGGTATAACAAATTCCCGTGATAAATAAAATGGCAAATTATTATTCATATCAGCAAATTTTGTCTCCTTCAAGAATGCAATGACCTTTAATTTCTCTGAAACACTCTGAATATCCTTTACAGTGAAATTCATGACAGGAAATGGAATTAGAGCAGACTTGAGTTTTAAATTTAAGGCAAATTGCTGATGAGTAGGCAAGGTCTGTAATGAACCACAAGTGATTTCACAATAGTCCGGAGCCTTGTAATGACCTTTCACAACTAGTTGCTTAACACCATCATGGCATTTTAAAATAACAGTAGTTGTATTTGGAAAGAATAAATACTGCACATTGTGGAGATGAGCGTGAAACACAGTTTTGACACTAACTGGCCTATAGCTGCATTGTGCAAGTGCTGTGCGTACATTTGTTTGTATGACTGCCAATTCGCATATTCCTTCTGCAGCAGGAATAAACGCGAACATATAGGCTGGACATACGTGTAGGTGTAGATATGACGACTTACACCGTGACAGTACCTCAGGATCCTCTAATGCCAATAAAGAATAATCTTCATCTATAAGGAAAAGTTCTTTCGGCCTATCCAGAGTATACAGTGTCGTTAACAAACCAGGGGAAAGGTTCTAAATGCCATGCATTAAACTGATGTTACGCTCGCATAGGGATGTGGATGAGAATAGCACTGTGCGTGAGAGTCGACTCCAACAGAGGGTAATAATATTCTACCTTACTATCATTAAAAATAGGAGTTAAGTGACACTGCAACTTGGCAATCTCTAAAGCATCAAGAAGCATCTGCATAGGCACAAGCTTTGCATCCACACGCCCTATCCCTGCATCTACTATGCTGTCAATTAGTTCGGTATTACAGGTAACAACCTTCTGAACTGAAATTTCCGCAGCATGCAAATATTCTGTGAAATAAAGGAGCCACTCTAGCGTCGGGATTGATTTCTGTAACTTATTAACAACCCTCGATACATGGTTAGACTCCAATATTATCGCATTAACTTTTGACTAATAAAGCAGTAATCGCATGAAATGTTTGAGAGATAACGCGATTCTGCTGAGATACAGCTTGATAGACAATGCCGTGCCAAACAGAGTGCTTTGGATAAGACTCACAAAATTAAATAAACCCCTTTTTCGTCGTGTCTGAGAACGCACTTCTTTTGCAAGATCAGCCTAAGACGCTGGTATGCTTTTTCCAACAGCAACGAGAAGCTTGCGAAGGTTCAAGAGACGAAAGTGTAGAAGTTCAATAGTTTGTGAAGCCATCGTCGATATGTTAGTAGCTGAACTGAGACTCTGTAGGATGTCCAATGCTGATTGTAATTGCGCGTTGACGTTGTCCATCTGACGGGGAAGTTGGAGCAGTCCATGTAACTCATACTTGATGTTCACCACGTCCTCAACTATGAGAACGCGTCCAAGGGGTGCAACAAGCGCACCCGGTTTGAGGACGGATGTGGACATGTTTGTCAACACAACGGTGCCACAACACAGTAGAAGCAAAACAATGATGTTCCAAGCCATTCTGTAAGAAATTACACACGTGTTAACATCTACTTGGAGAACGAAGTTTCATACAATAGTCATTGGGCACACACTGCTTCTGTACAGTCTGTGAAGAGGTGTCGATCACATCATCATCAACTGTGGGCAATAAATTCTCATGGGTCTTCTTAAGACGGTCCGCATGCACGACATCTGCAATCTGTGCGTTAGGCTTCCAAATTATAAATTTGTTGCCCGTTTCTTTGGCAATAATGCGGAATGGACCTGAAAATTTAGCGTAAAGCTTGGAGTTCCTTTCAGGTTCTTGTACCATAACAGCATCTCCTACGTTTAACATGACAGGTTTAGCATGTTTATGTTGTTTGACCATCATTTCAGCGCGAGACGCTGCTAAATGTGATCGTACTTGGGTATGAATATCCGTAAAAACACGGATTTGTTTTGCCGCGAAATCATCCATATTATAAACAGGGTTTGGCGTATCCGTAAGTACATCATAAGGTAGACGTTTATCTGTACCATATACAATGTAGTAGGGTGATTTGCCCGTAGAGCTATTAATCGACCCATCATTGGACGCTGCAACCTGCGGTAACTAATCTTCCCATGTGTATTGCAAATCACTCACAATAGGGCGAAGTATCTCCAGGATCTTGCGATTGGTTCTCTCAACAAGGCCATTAGCCTGTGGATGATAAGCTGTCACATAACTTTGCTTAATTTCATAATGCGCACATATTTGTGCTACTAGTTGATTCTAGAACTCTGTCCCATTGTCAGAGAGAAGAACTTTAGGCGTAGTATATGGACATATAAGATTCATCACTAATGCATAGGCCACCGAATCGGCCATTTTATCTTTTAGTGGGACCAACACCACGAATCTAGAAAAATGATCCACACACACTAAGACGTACGCTGATCCCTGATGACTCCTCGGGAGTTGTAACAAGTCAATAGCGACTGTGTCAAACGGACGGTCTGGTGTAGGATATTGTAGAATCGGGGCCGGTGATCCTTCAGAACCTTGATGTTGAGCACATGCCAAACATTTAGCAATGTGTAATTCTATATCTTTCTTCATTGTATTCCAGAAAAAATTCTTTCTTAATTCCGCCAAGCATTTGTCACGACCCTGCTGACCTGCCTGTGGGACATCATGGAACAATGTTGTAACCGTTTCACACAAAGTGTCAGGTACGACTATTTGAGAAACAATACCCTCTGGCGTCTTTTTCGACCTATGGAGTATGTTATGTCGTAATTCAAACTGACTTAAGAGAAGAATTAATTTGGGGAGTTTAACATCCTCTCCCGATTTGAGAGCAAAAATGACTGCTGACCATAATGGGTCGCGTCGTTGCTCATCTTCCAGTTGCGAAAGAGTGAACGTTGATACAGGCATGACTGGTGCTATATTTCTTGACAAAGCGTCGGCGACAACATTCGCCCTGCCCGGTAAATACCTAAACTCGGGGTCAAATTCCTGAGTTGTCAGATACCAGCGTGCTAATCTGCCTGATAAGTTTCTGCCATGGAACAGCTCAGTTACTGCCGCATGATCTGTAAAAACAGTTATCTTATATCCAAAGATAATGTCTTTAAATTTCTTAAGTGCCCACACAACGGCTAACGTTTCCAAATGCGTTACCGAATAACGTGTTTCAGCATCAATAAGCCTACGGCTTGCAAAAGCTATCACTCTAAACTTTCCATGCGTATCCTCTTGCATGAGTACAGCTACGATTCCAAGTCCAGAAGCGTCAGTACAGAGGGTGAAAGGATGAGTGTAGTCAGGGAATGCTAGAACAGGGGCATTGGTAAGCTCTATCTTCAATGCCGCAAACTATTTTCTTGTTCAGCATCCCATATAAACATTGCATCTTTCTTGAGCAACCTTGTTAGGGGCGATGCTAATGTTGCATAGTTCTTGATAAAAGAACGATAATATCCAGATAAGCCATGAAAACTACGCACATGATCAACTGAGGTAGGACGCAGGAACTGAGATACAGCTTTTACTTTATCATCTACTGTATGTATGCCCTCACCGTCAACTACATGACCAAGGAAATGGAATCTGGATTTTAGAAACTCACATTTTGAGAGTCTAATTTTAAGACCTGCTGTGGAAAGTTTTTCCAACAATTCACGCAGTTTAATCAGATGGGAATCGACGTCCTTACTGACTACTATTAGATCATCCAAATAAGCGCAGACTGTGGTACAAACTCAATCCGGCAAACAAGGTGTTGCTCATTCTTTGAAATGTTAGTGGGGCATTCCTGAGACCAAATGGCATCCGGAGGGACTCAAAGTGGCCCAGTGGCGCGCTAAACGTCGTGACCTCTCGTGATTTCTATTTGAGTGGTATCTGCCAATACCCACTAAGCAAATCTAAGTTGCTAAATACTGCTTTATCCTTACCTAAGGACTGCAATATGTCACTCAAGACAGGCATAGGGTACCTATCTGGGATCGTTTTTTCATTAACGCGCCTGAAATCAATAACAGGGCGCCATACACCATCCTTTTTCGGGACGAGGAATAAGGGGCTATTAAAAGGGGACTTAGAACGCTTAATAACATTCTCATCCAACATATGTTGCACCATATCTTGGACTACAGTAAACTGGCTATGAGGTAGTCTGTAAGCTGGTACATGGATAGGATTTGTTCCCTCCTTTAACGCTATATGATGGGATGTCAAATCTGTCTGACCTAGCTTTTCCCCTGGCAAGGCTACAATATTTCTGTATTCAGGAAGCAGCTCGAAAAGGCATGTCTAGCCCTGAGGATGATCGATCACCTTAACATGTGGCGCTATTTGATCTTTCCTCTCCTGCCTAGTCTGTTGGGATTGTGTAACAATACTGCCAATTGGGAAGTTTGTAGGTTGTACTTCGACATTGTTGTGATATATTAGAAAATCACACAAAAAACATCCTTTCTTTAATATATGCTGAACACCTGTTCTATTCAGAATCAGTACGTCTGTCAAACCACCAGGGCGCATCGTGTGTAACGTCGATTCGCACGACAACCCTTTTACCTTGCACGTTTCCGGGAGACATACTATATCAGTGCCAGTGTACACGTCATGTAATTCGACAGTTGCTTTTGTGAATTCCTCATTCAGGTAATGGAGAGTACTCTTCAAAACTACAGGTACTATCTTCCAATTGTTGCTGCTATAATCACGCTGGGAAAGTGAGGGTGTGAGGTCTTGGGTTAGCTCTCACACATTTTCCGCCTTCCCCTGAGTGGGAATGGTGGACAACACTTTCGACCTAGCGGTGAGCAAAGGTGTAGAATGACGCATAGCGCTGTAGGAAACACTTTTAAACGTAATAGTATTATTACGTGGATGAACATCTATTTTATGAGTTCTAAGAGTTGGGAGACCAAGTAACCCGTCAGCTGGCAAATTAAACTGCTGAACCACATAAAAGTCCGCGTAGAAGGGAGCACCACGTCTTGAGAATCTG